GTAGTGAGATGATCCTATGTAATTTGGAGATTTTTCTAGATCAGATTGAACTGGAATGATCCCATCTCTTTCCAAGACTTTCCTTGGCTGGTTTGGGATGATGCTTTACCCTTCAGGCATTGGTCCATATCAAATTGTGATGATCCCATCCCATTTGGTATTTGTCCACATTTAACTGGGATCATCCCCTTTTTTGCTGGGATTTTCCCAGATTGGTTTGAGATGACCCTATCCCCCCTTGGTATTTGTCCATGTTGAACTGAGATTTTCCCAGATTGATTTGGGATCATCCCATCCTCTTTTGGTATTTGTCCATGTTGAGCTGGGATCATCCCATCTCTGGCTGGGATTTTCCCAGAGTAGATTGGGATCATCCCATCCTCTTTTGGTATCTGTCCATGTTGAGCTGGGATTGTCCCATCTCATTTGGTATTTGTCCATGTTTAACTGGGATCATCCTATCTCTTGTTGGGATTTTCCCAGATTGGTTTGGGATCATCCCATCCTCTTTTGGTATTAGTCCATGTTGAGCTGGGATCATCCCATCTTATTTAGTATTTGTCCATGCTTAACTGGGATCATCCCATCCTTTGGTGGGATTTTCCCAGATTGGTTTGGGATCATCCCGTCCTCTTTTGGTATTTGTCCATGTTGAGCTGGGATCATCCCATCTCTGGCTGGGATTTTCCCAGAGTGGATTGGGATCATCCCATCCTCTTTGGTATTTGTCCATGTTAAGCTGGGATCATCCCATCCTATTTTGGTATTTGTCCATGTTCAACTGGTATCATCCCATCTCTTACTGGGATTTTCCCAGATTCAATTGGGATCATCCCATCCTCTTTTGGTATTTGTCCATGTTAAACTGGTATCATCCCATCTCTTGCTGGGATTTTCCCAGATTCAATTGGGATCATCCCATCCTCTTTTGGTATTTGTCCATGCTTAACTGGGATCATCCCATCTCTTGCTGGGATTTTCCCATATTGGTTTGGGATCATCCCATCTCATTTGGTATTTGTCCATGCTTAACTGGGATTTTCCCAGATTGGTTTGGGATCATCCCAGATTGGCTTGGGATTATCCCATCCCTTTATGGTATTTGTCCATATTGAACTGGGATGATCCCACCCCCTTCTGGTATTTGTCCATGTGAGAAGTGGGTAACCCCATGTTACGTGGGGACATGTACAGATTTAACTGGGATGATCACACCCTATTTCAGGGATTTGTCCAGATCAGTGTGGGATGATCCTCAGTAAAAAAAATCAAAAGTTGGGCAATGTCAATGGTCAGAATCAGTTTTGAAGGAAATTACCTGAGTTCTACATATTGCCATAAAAATGATAATCCAAAAAGAGTGGTGTGAGACAGCATCACTATCATATGAGAGACAGAGAATGTTGGCAGAAACCTTACTTGGCATGAAAAAATATTTTCCGGATTCATTTCAATTTCTCAAGAATCTAAAAAAAGAATACCTTTACAGCACTCAGATTCTTTGTGGACTTAGATACTGTACTATACACAGTCAGCATATAGGCACCAGTCACCCCTTAGACCTTCAGCTGGTAGCTCCCAGAAATGGCACAACTCAAGGTATTAAATACCTAAGCAGTGCCTAATTAATCCTCACACTCAAGTCATCTAGTGTAGGAGTATCAAAATGGAGATCTTGTGTATTATACTGTACATAGCAAGCATCCCCCTCTCCCCATAGACCTTCAGCCAGCAGCCCCCAGGAACCACTCTCAGAGAATGTACAATATAAGGTATCAAATACCTTGGTAGTGCCACAAAAGTGGTAAATTCATGTTTTTGCAAGAACATGACTTTATGTTTCTTTTTACTATGTTTTACTTTCTACAAGGTCAGGATTTTCCTCACAGAATATGCCAGATCTAGTGTAAATCTAATATTCGATGTCCTTCTGCAGATTACTTTGTTGTCACAGCATTTGTGTTGTGTTTCCTAGTTTTTACTTCAGTTAAGGGTATAATAAACCTTGCAAAAAAGCAGAACTCACATATCACATCTATCAGCAAGGACAACAGCATCTTTCTAGTGTATGGTTCCTGCAATTGATTATATCTAGAAATTGATAATGTTCCACATTTAAAAAAAAGGGAATGCTTCTCCCCAAATTTGCAGTAAGCTACAATGAGGAACTTGTAACTCATATATTTCAAAATAGTCTTGATTATATTGGGCTAAAGTACCATTATTCAGGTGGAAAAGACTGGAAATATCTTCACTAGTTGGCCCAGCATTCTCACATGTTAGTATTAGCACCAATCCCCCTGATACCATGTGACATGTGACAGGTTATTGGGATTATCCCATCTGAGGGATAATCCCACTATGGTACATGGTCTGATACCATGGGAAAATCCCAGAAGGGTGGTATTATTCCGCTTCTGGGATGATCCCATCCTTGCTGGAGCACTTGGGATGATACCAGGAAAAACAAGCTCTTAGCTTTATACATTTACACAGATAGTTGAAGCTAAATGCTTATGTTTTGGGGGTGACTGAAGTGAACTTTGCATACATTTTCAAATACTATAGTGTGGGTAGTTGGAGATTGAGATCCAATACTCAGCTGGGAAGAGGTTGATCCGCAGATAGCAAGTGGGGACCCCCAGTTACCTTTTTTTTACATTACCAAGAGAACAAGTCAACATGTTGTCGCAAAGTCAACCAACCAACGCCAATGCTCTGTTGCACAGCATGCGTGCACAAATCTTGGTGTTAACCACGCAACTCACTGAGCTACAGGCACACCCTCCTGCAGCAACCCCCTCGGTGGAAAAGAAATTCAACAAGAAAGTCAAAGTCGTCGCTGACCCTGGCGCCTTCAATGGAGAAAGAGCGCAATTCGCCGAATGGTGGATCAAACTCCAGATTTGGGTCAAGGCAAATTGGGATGCATTTGCCGATGACTTTGAGGTAGCAACCGCAGTGCTGTCTCGACTAAAAGGACCTGTGGCGGGTCAATACGCCCAAGTACGAATGCAGGAGTGCTACACTGTGGGAGTGTGGCCTGTCTGGAATGATCTCAAAGTAGAGATTAAAAAGTATTTCAAACCACAAGCTGAGCATGACTGGGCACGTCAGAAAATCCGCTCCTTCAAACAAGGAAATATGAGGACGGATGACTATGTTACCCGGTTCCTGGCCCTCTCTATCCAAGGGGGCTTAGGTAACGAACACGCAGTAGAGCTGCTGGAACGCAATGTAAATCCCCACCTTGCAGAACAGCTCTATCTGCAGGATATGAGAAGTGACAACTTCTCCCAAGCAGCGGAGGAGGTTCAAAAAATAGGTAGGGCCATAGAGCTCTACAAGATGCACCAAGGTGGCGGGACCACCACCAAAAACAACTATTCCCAGAGGAGCCCTGGGTCATCAAACCAAAAATCACACCATTCTCATGGGTTCCAACCATTTGGGTTCCAACCAGGGCGGGGTGCTCCCATGGATATCGGCGCGGTCCAAGGTGGACAGAAGAGCAGATTCACCTTTTTCAGCTGTGGACAGGAGGGGCACATGGCCCAAGATTGCATAAACGGAGCGCGGGCCACTCAACAAAAAAATAACCAAGGGCACCAGGCACACCAATTAGAAGCCAAGAAACCGGAAGATCAGCTTCAAACTCTAGCTGGTCGTTCATACAACAAGATCCGGGCTTTCTTCTATGACCAACAGGTCAATGAAATGAAAGCTCAGGGAAAAGAGTTCGGAGCTTAGGTCACTTGGGTGCCTTCACTCCACGAAACAATGAAGTAAACCACAACAAAGTGGCCCCTGCTCTGGGGTGTTGAACGAGCAATAATGGAAAGAAGGGGATGGCTCCCCAATTTGTAAATAGATTTCTAAATTTATTATCTGAAGTATGTACTTGTATGCCTAGTTGTGACTATGAATTTGCCCTGGACCCACCTGACAATATAGCTGCTTTGAGCGCTGATTCAGTGGGTCAGGATAATGAAGGAGTGGATGCTGAAAATACTTATAAAAACACTGCTGTACCAGCATCCCCTTTGGAGCGTGGCCCCAGCGAGACAAACACTAGGGTGCTTAATTCTGGTAAAAATAAAAATAAAAACATAGAAAATCTTTAAGTAGAAAAACATGTTTCTTTTGATAATTCTTCTTCTTCTTTGGAGCCACTTCCCACAGAAATCCCAAGGTGTGTGTTGATGCACACATATTTATGCCAAAAGGAGATTCATTTAGACGTTGGTGTGGAAAACCTTGCCCGGGGGCATAGTACACCCAACCAGCACACTGCTTGATTCAAGTGCTAACGGAATCTTCATAGATCAGGTCTGGGCGGAGCAAATTGGACTCCCCCTTGTAAAATTAGATATATCTATTCCCGTCTATAACGTTGACGGTGTCGATGATGAGAACTGCTGTTAGAAAACCACACACAAAAACAAACAAACACACAATCCTCCCAGATTCCACAGAACTTGTTTATGGGCTTTGCCTCCTAGAACAGTGGAGTGGTCTGGTTGTTCGTGGGGTGGTACGTATAAAGATCCTTCAAAGTAAAACCCTGAGGTGTATGAGTGTGGGTTTTGAGGAGGAGGGATAGTTGAATTGATAGAAGATAGGGGCTTAGTGACGAGTATAGATGAGCACTACCTTGCTAATCGTAGCACAAGGTAGGTTTGAGAATGACAAGATAACGAGGTTCCCAGTGATAGCAGGCTCCTGACGCACAAACTGTAGTGCTCAGAAGGACTCTAATCGAAGGGGATGTCAATCACTTTCAAAAAGTGACGAGTGACGATGACAGCAGTTAACAGTGGTAGAAGTGGGAAGTGTTGTGACCACACTGGATCACAAGTAGTAGAGTAGTGAACTTGAGAGTAGAGAAGAAGTCTGGATTGGATTTCTTGTTTTTTTTTTTTTTACAAGGTAAAATACAGGGGTTTATATAGTAAAAGAAAAGTAGGCTATGCACAGTATAGCTGTGCAAAAAGAATGAGAAAGAACATGAAGGAAGGAATGTATGCTGACAAATCCTGCGTAGGTAGTACAGGATAAGATTGTCAAAAAAAGGAAAAGAAAGAGATAGAACAATGAATGCTGTGAGTAATGTCACAGGTTTGTACAGCCATAAAGTAAAGTCCAATAGCAAAAAGAGAGCAGGAAAATCATGATGTCATGGGAAGATGCAGTAAAAAAGGGCAAGGCAAAAAAAATATCAGTATCAACACAGTTCCTTTATTGTCAGTCAGGCATTCTAAAAAAATATGTGTCCATAAAAATGATTCAAAAATCAAAAATAATCGCACTGTAAATGAATGTTCTGCTGAAAAAAAAGAAACTGGAGCCACCGGTCCACCACCTAATCCAAATCCGACAGTTCCATGGCCTTACCAATGGACTGGTTGTGTTGGACCACCTGATCAAACGAGGGAGGGAGAGGAGTAGTTCCAATTTGGAACAAGTGAGTCCCAGGCAGCGTGTGATAGGTGTAGCTGTAGCGAAGACGATGGACAAAAGATAAGTGTACCCAAGTGAATGGGACAGCGATGAACATGGGCAATGCAAGGGGATGAACCTTCTCCAGCTCAAAAATTACCCACCCACACTCCAACCAGGCAAGACGAGCGACCAATGTTTTGATAGTATATGATGGCAGATCGATGTCATGAAGATGGACCTGTTGCCCTATTTGGACCGGCCGCCGGGGCTTTGCTGATATCAGCAGTGGCACGTGGTAGTCAACGGATCGGTGACGGAAGCGGATAGGAAGTGGTGACATCAGAAATGGTGGGGGTGCAAATAAGATGAGGAGGAGGAGGGTGGAGGTGACAAACAAGTGGATTAGAATGGGGATCCAGAAACGACCATCAGGTGAGAATAAAAAGGAGAGGAAGGGGCCCATGGTGGGGCTAGGCAAAGGAAGGGAGTAAGGGAAACGACAAAGCGAGGGGCGCAATGCATGTGTAGCAGTGGCGACGCGAAATTTGCCGAAATGC